CACGGTACAACCTTTGTACTGTGAGGCTTAAATCACTGCGGAGATCTTACAGTGACGCTTGCTGGCTTACTGATGTCCAGCACTCTGGTCTTATCAGTCACCTAGCCAACTTATGGACATGGATGGATAAGAAAAGGTCCACACAGAAATCGCCGCAGCAACTGCCGCGCGCGACGATTCTCGCCGCGTGAGCGGCGTGACCTCATTAGCCGACGATTGAATTGACCGTCTCCCCTAATTCTCGGACGCGTCCAACGATCGATAAACATCTAATGCTGTGCGATCGGTACGATCAGACAACCAACTATGAATGCGCCCTGTAACAGGTCAGGTTGTTATCACTACCGGAAGCGTAGTGCAGTTTGTGGAGTGCAGCTGCCAGTCACCGCTTTTTCTCCAGAGCAGGTGGAGACATTGATCAATACTTCTCAGGGATGCGCCGCGCATTCCACTTTATTCAGAATGGCAATGGTATATGGAAGTGCTCTTGATCTGCAGTTTAGTTCCACGGCAACTGGGCCTTCTCAGAATAGAATTACGGTGTTTAGTAGAACACTGCCTGCTCAAGTACACGATCCCCATTGTCGGCGGACTCCGTTCAAGAGTGCCGGGTATAGCGTGAACCTTGCTTTTCTACCACAATGTTTTCTCACTTTGTGAAAAGAAAAGAATTGGTTTTGTGGTTCTGCGCGAGAACAGGGAGGCCTCTCCACGGCCAAGGAACCCTCTAGTTCAGGGACAAGCGTGCTTTCAGAAATCCTCGACAGGTCGACAGGGGGAGGTCGTATTTAGCCCCTTGGAAGGAGGGGGTCGGGGTGGTACGATGCGGGATTTTTAGGGGGGATCATCACTGTCGATAGGCGAACGACCACTGATCAAGGAACGTCGATCGACCACAAGGCAGGACATAAGCCAGGAGAATCTCCAATTGCAATGCTACTCGAAATACATTAAAATATTCGTGGTCTAAGGAGGGCCCGCCGCGGGTAGTACTCAGCTCCCTCACTGATTTATTACGACAAAGTTGAAGGTCCGAAATTAGCCTGTTTTCCGACGGATATTTTATCTTTCGAATGAGTCTGCCAACATGAAAGAATGTGATACACACGACGCGTCCCAGAGTGGGCCCGTCAGTTGCGCACACTTCATCTACGGCGCTGGGGAGAGAACATCTTGATCCAGCAAAAATCAAGAGGATTCTGGAAGGGTCGTCCTAAAATGACTGGGAGGAATTCACTATTGGAAGAGAAATGCACTTTTCAACGTCAAATTTATAAATATATAATCTTAAAAGTTGCGATTCGCTAGACACTGATTGGAGAGAGAGAAGCGCATTTTCCGAATCTGCTCTCACTTTTGTACATAGCTCCCGAAAAGGAGCTACAGTCGTTGAGAAGGAAGTCAATGCAGCGAAAAAGTACCTTTCTACGATACTCGTGCAAAAATCTTCAATGTGGCCATTTTTTAAAATCCGAATGTATCGAGCTGCCTCTATCAACCGGTGAGTAGAGCAAATCTTCTAGTTTACGATGCCGTGTTAACATATCGGGTCTGGACGAGTTTTGACCGGAGTTATGGTTTGGGAAGGAAAACTCATCACGGATTTATTCTTGTTAATCATCTAAAATTGTATTAGTTTTCTCTCTTTAATTTTTACAATTTCGATACCGATTGGAAAGGGTTCTTCACAAAACTTCCAAATCTGCTTTCACATTGAAAATTGTCCATTTTTCAAGAAAGTTACAATCATTTCAATACGTGCTCAAATTTCAGTTGTAAAAAAGCTGCTCCAATGTCAACGTCTCTCTGTGAAGTCAATGAACACACAGCTGGCAAAGGGATTACAATGCTTCTCTCAAACTCTTTCAGGCTCTGAAGAAAGCGATCCTTACCGAAACGTCAGCCTAGTAAAGGTCATTTATCAACCTCGTGAAGAGGTAAGAAGAGATCAACTAGCACCATAATGCCGAGGTTCATCCAAAGCCGTACGTGACTTCTCTCAAACTAAAGGTGCACGTGTAGATTGAGTAGCATGCTCTGCGTAGTACTGAAACTTGGTGAGCCTTTCAAAAGAAATAAATGAAGAAGGGATGCTATCAAAGTATGCTATTTTTAATTACTAGTCGTCTTCTGCTCGGTATGATTAACTGTTGATGTTCTTTTACTTTTCCTAGACTTTTCCTTTTCCTTTGTTGAATACTTGTTGAACAAATTTTTTGAGGGGGGGGGGGGGGGCTAGAGGGGTTTTTCAGATGAAATGATTCTTTCAGAGAGTGAGAAGCTTTTCATACTTCGGCTTGTGAGGAGGGTCGTTTCAAGTATTCCAGCCGCTGGTAAGGGGGGGGATCGTATTTCAAAATTTTCCTCGATACCTCGCTTGACCCTGCTCCACTTCCAGGTGAGTCATGAGCTCATAACGTCTTTCTTTTTGCTTCAGTCGGGTTTAGTCTTTTACCTGTACATTCCAGCTTATGTAAGTCAATATCAAAATTGACCAACATTTCAACCATTGGTTCATTTATTCAATCCTATTTCACTTATTCATGATCTACATTGGTGTATATCCTGTAATGAAACATAAGTGTGTGGAGCTACAGTATGCCAAGGCGGGTGCAGAATTATAAACAAAGAGGCATCCATATAAAAAGGCCCAGTGTGGATAACGCAAGTCAAAAATACGGCCCAATACGATCCACTGCTCGACGACGACCAGCTCCAGACCGAGCTTTTCAAGACTCCATCATAAAAGCGATCTTATTCGTCTCAAATTCGACAAATTCACTGCTGCCATCGCTGCTCGCACGAGCAAATTGTGAGAGCTACATTCGGCAATGTCATCGTCTATCCGAATTCACTCGACGAATACAATAGCTGTGAACCTGCTCTGGAAGTTGTCGATTTGAGGTTGTCCTGCTCCCACTGCTTCTCTGTTTATTTTGTACTCAGAAAGAGAACGTTGATTCTCACCCGAGCGGGCGCTGCCCACGATTCCCAAACACGTGCACACGACGTTCAAGTATCAAAGAATGGGACTCTGTGGGCAGTGCTTAAAGCCGGCACACGAAGCGGCGTGTAAGGTCATGTGCGGAATATGCCGCCAACCTCACAATTCTTTACTGTGCCCGGTGAAAGCAAATACTTTCATAACGAAAAGAAAGTATTAAATTCAACTACTTCACCTCTACATCCCTTTGACATCAACCACACCACTCCACCGCTTCGCAAAACTCTCCACATTCACTACGCTGTTTACCTCCACTACCACCTACAATCTACCACGACCTCAAGCCGACCAGCCAATGCTACGACCAACTTCATCAACGACTACGCCGATCAAACGAGCAGTTAAGGAAATGATATTATTTTGTTTATGTGAAATGTGTAATGTAATTTAATGTATAATGTGAAACAATTTTTATTCTTGCTGGCGTAGGGAGTGTCGCGCACTCCTCGCGACCCTCTGTTTGTAACCTTTCATTAATCATTTGTAACCCTTGAACCCCTGTGTGAACCACATGTTGGGTGGTCAACAGAAGGGGCTAGTCGGCACCAATTGTTTCTTATGTGCCTATTTTAATGAAGATTCAAAAACCAGTGAACCATCTTGAAAAAAGGGTATAAACATTTTCTTTGGTAAGACCAATAATTCTGCCACACTGCTTGCGCTAATTGCTGACCTCTTCCTGACAGTTCCGCTTAAACAGAATCTTGATTATAGAACGAACTCTGTTGATGTGACACATAGCAAAAGAAAAAATGCGGAAAAAAAATAGTTTATCGAAAACCAGTATCGTTTCATTCGGAAGCATTTTGAGATTTTCTGCAGTACTTCGTTCATAGGTGCTTCCGTTTTGGTAGTATTCTTTAAATCAATCGCCACCATCAGCACCGTGGCAGTTCTGAAACCAGTCCGAATGAAACCAGTTGGTAAATTCCTACTTCCGCCTGAATTTTCCCTTCAAAGCTGCCGTCTAGAGGGAGTCTTGTGGGAGGGATCAGTATGTGTGAGAATTGTTCACATCTCGAGAAGCAATATTGTTTCATTGTTCACTTTTTTTGTATTTTAAGATCTGCCGTAGAAAAACAACAGAAGCCCTGATTTTACCTATTTGACGCCTCTGCAAATTTTCTACAACAGCGCGATCTCATCAGGAACATTCATCTATTTTAAGAACACGATCTCCTCAAAGGAATCCTTCGCGGAAAAATCATGCTTTATTTGGGCCATAAATCACTGGCTTGAGACTCATTATCCACGATAAGAATGAAAAGAACAGAAATATTGCTTTCGTTCTGGTAAAAATTCGAAAAATCGAAAGGGCTGCTACGCGTTCAAAGTGCCCACGGACGTCTTTCACAAATGCTGGCGACGGGGATGCTTCCACTTGGTTCTTGGAGTGCCTTCACTAGAAACTCTTTCTGGCCTTCTGCTTTATTGCATTCACATCTTACACTTCTACTCCATCCTATTCTATCGATCGATTTGTCTCTACTCTCCGAAATCGCGCGCTTTAACCCGATTCTTCATTGCGTCGCCTGATACGTAGCCGGCCAAAGGCCAACTTCTTTCCATGCCTCGTTTGGCTCCGCCCGAATTACCTTCGATGTCCATAACGTGTAGTTTTTGTACGTTTGTTTCTCTTCGGAAACCGAATCTTCATGCGTGAAACTTTGTGTGCTGTTTCCAGTGATCACAACTGACACATTCATGTTAAGGAAAGAATGCAAGAATTTTCCGCGAAAGATTCCTTTAATTTCTCGACTTCCTTCAAACTAAGTTAACTTATGTCAATCCCAAATAATGACACGACCCCACTCCCAAAAGTCACAGATACGATTCCCTGTCTGGTTCGGCCAGACGCACGATTGACTGTGGCTCCATCCACTATCCGGATCGATGATAGTGATGTTGCACTGGCACTATTCTCAGATAGAGCCGCAGCACCTTGGCAGCACCATGGGATTTGCAAGGCTCAAAGAAGCCAATTGCTGAAGCAAAAATGGGCGGAGATCTCGCAGAATATCCGGCCAAGCCTGCAGCACATAGATACCGCAGATGTCCTGCTATGGCAAGTCGGCAGCACATCAAACCCCAGGTGTCCTGCTGTGGTGCTGGAAACCTATGCTACTGACCTCTACTGCGAACAGCACTACCGCACCTCTCGGAAGGCCTAGGCCCCCTCCCCCCCATATGCTGCCAAGCGCCGGAGTTTGAATTTCGGCCGCACCACTGTTGCTATGGTGCTCATCTTCTATCTGAGTTGTTTGTCATCCTTAATTAATTTGGGAATAATTGAAAGGCTAAAACTTCTTGGCACTCTGATATTTTGTGCTGCCGCGAGACTTAATTCAGTAATACTGTGTGAATTCACTGAATGGAAGAGCGGGAAAATTAAGCTCACTTCAATAAGAAATTTAAAATATAATGACTTGAATTTGTTCAAATTCCGATTCTGAGGAAATACTTCCAACGTGTTGTTTCAGAGCAAATATCGAGCATATGTGATGATGTATCGTGACGTTGATAATTAATATACTGTTTGACGAAAGTCAGGAAGAGGTCAGCGGTCAGCGCAAGCAATTAATTGAGGCCACCCCACAGGCAGGTCTGAGGAGGGCGAGGCACATTACAGTAACCCCTTAATTGGCTTACCGTATACAGCTTATATTCTAAGTTCACACACCCCTACGACTCATGTCGCTGCACCGGATGTAGGAAAAGTAGTCGATTGCTGCGAGAACCCTGAGAGCCCAATGGCTTATATTCAGTACCATGGTGGATGCTTCCATTATCTCATATTACGATTACAGATGACTGATGGAAGCTTCTTCGTTGAAGATCTTTGTCGCCTGTCGCACGTCTGTGTACCATGGAAGTCTACGCAAGATGCGGCGACGCGCGTGGTATACAAGGTATGTCGGCTTCCATCTTAAAATAACTCTCGGGATGAGATTGACAGATAAACCGTTCAGAAGTGCCGAAATGTGTCAGCCATACCTTCGTATGCTGACAGAACGTCAAGGCAGGAGATCGCCGAGGACATCGACTTCAATGCCGCTGAAGGCACTCGTGGCGTTTTAGCAGCATGGGTATGTATTCAGATACTCAACGCCGAGAGGATATGTTTCACTACTTTCACCGCAACGTTTCGAGGCAAGACGCACAACCATCTCGAGGTGGACTGACTGCATGAGATCGCATAGTGAATGCAAATACAGAATGTTTTTAGAGCACTGGGAAAGCTGCACGGTCAGCGTGTGTCGATGAGCCTCAACGATTTTCACGACTTCCTGACGGCACGCAGTTTCTCCAGTATGCTTCGGAGAAGCTGCACATATACTTTGCAGCTCCAATTATCCAGGTACCTTCAGAAATATACATGATGTTGTTTTATTAGACCAGCATCTTTAGATAATGAACATCATTCAGAGGGCTTCCGCGTTAGGCCTGGAGGCGCTGGTGGCTGACGGCGTTCACGATCTGCAGCCTGACGCCACCAGCAAACTGGGGCAGGTTTACACGATTCATGGAGTCCTGTGTAACGGCGTGGATGTGCCGCCATTGTTCGCCATTACTAAGTGGTAATCAGTATTACTCAGAAATTCGAACATTTCTTCCTCCATAATAAGCTTGTTTCAGGAAAACGGAGGCCACCTACCGTCAGGTGTTCGGTGCGATGAAGGACGTGATGGCGGCAACGGCACCGGCGCAGCTACAAGGTTTGCGCGTCATACTGGACTCCGAGAGGGCTATCAACGCAGCCCGGGTGTCCCCGGGCGCATCTGTTGAAGGTTGCACATCCATATGGCACAGGCATGGAGCAGGGATGCGCTCGGGTTGCGCCAGTATGTACGCGAGGACCGATGCAGGAGAATAATGGAGAACCATCAACGGACTCGTTTTCCTCCCCCCCACACTTGCACCGGAGCTCGGCATTGTGGCGAACCCCTGTCACGCGAAGTCATGCCACCTATGACGGGTGCCGCCATGTTCCTTGAGTACTTGCAT